GTTTATTCGTTACAGAGCTCACTGTCTCTCTGTTTCCTCCAAAGTGCAATGATGCCAAGAAATTGGTGTATACGGGTGGCCCTTGCTGTGAAAGGCTCCGCCACATCTGTGATGTACACCTGATGTTGTCGGGATTGTGGCTGGGTTGTCCATCTTTTTCAAAAAGTATCTCTAACAGTGCCATTTCTCTCAGGCGTTGGATACCTTCCTCCATGGTCTTCCAGGCCGTCTCATAATGGTGCTGCTGCAGGAAGTCTCTGTAAACAAACTTCTCTCTCACACCTGTTAGAAGTCGCTCCCAGAGAGAAAGGGGTTTTGACTCCTTTACGAATGCTTGCTCGATACTCACATCCTGGGCCAGGGATCCCAAATATCTTGCTTTGTTGCCATCAAGTGGCAAGCCTTTACCCATAAGGTTCCACACTCAAATCAGCCAGGTCAAAATGGGCTCATTTTGGCTTTGAGTAATGTCATTCTGCATATTGCAGAGCTGGTCATATGAGAGGGATTCGGTAATGACCTCAGGCTCTGGGTCCTCCACTGGTTGTGAAGGCTCTGGTTCCCCGTCCTTGTTAACTGGGTGTATTGACTTGGCTTTATACTTCTTCCTCTGCACTGGGGCCACTTCCACTGGCTGTGACTTCCCTTCTGGCTTAACTGGGGACTGAGCACTTGTGATGTCTATTGGTTTCTCTGCTCCACTGTCTTTCCCTTCTGACTGTAGGTGGTGTTGTACAGTCCATACCATGGTGCGGTAAGCATGGGCTAAGGTCCAGCACATTGCTATAAGCTGTCCATCTCTGGAATTTATGGACCCATGTTCTTTCAGGCACTCAGCAACCTTACAGGGGATCTGTGTTTGGTCAGGGGAAAGCTTCCAAACAATTGGGGGAGAATATTCCTTCAGCACCTGGCCTATCTCCTCTCATGCTCCCATGCAGTCAGAGTGATTTATGTCTATGGCAGGCTGTTGGACCGTGGCAGGTGTTTGGATCGTGGCAGGTGGTTGGACTGTGGCAGCCTGTTGCACAGTGGCAGGCTATTGGACAGGTTCCTGGGTAGGGTCCCTAGTGTCTGGGGTAGATCTTGGGGCAGTTACCAAAGACAACCTGGGTAGGCCACACTGAGCAAACACAGCAAAAACATCATCAAAAATAGAATATCTTCAATGTCTAGGGGAAAATTCAACCCTTCAGAAGCTTCTGTGATAGGGCCATATGAGAAGTAGGTGAAGGGTTTGGAAAAAGCATTTGCCTGCGTTCCTCCCCCAAAATAGGTACTATTATCAGTGAAACCCCAAAAATAGGAACCTGGGTGGTGGTAGTAATGCATCCAGTTATATATATTTCAAAAGAGGACTACGGGACCAGAATTTTTCAGCCACTGGTACCAATTTGCAAACTTGACAGCGGCCACAACTATTGCAGCCATGGTGTCCATCTTTAAGCAGTGATCTATAAATGGAAAAACCATATACACTGCCAAATGCCAAAAGAAGTTAGACCACATGATGGCAACGGTGTCTCTATATGCAATACAGAGGTAATTAGACAAAAGAGTTATTCCCTTTGTGCTGGTTTAAAAGTTAACCAGCAGGGGAAATGAACTCAACTCAAAAGAGAGATTACAAGTCAGAATAACAATTTAATAAAATAATACAATAAGTACGACTATACAGACAAGCAACTGGTTTTAACCCACAAAGCCCAAATGTACAACCCAGCACCCTGGGGCATAAACAAAGTGGTGTTCCCTGGGCCCCCCCCCCCCAAGTCCAAAGCAAAGGGAGAGGGGAAAAACCTGCTGGTGGGAGAGCTGCCGCAGTCCGGTCAAAAGTGGTGATTGCAGTCCAGCTGAGGGTGGTGGTCTCAGTCTGGTTGAGCAGTCCTCCTCTGGATCCCACGAGTGGTGGAAAGGTTCCGAAACTCCAGGTTTATATATTCTCCAGCTCAGGCAGGAATGCTCAGTCCTTCCCTCAGAGCGGGGAATTCCATAAAAGGATGCTCAGTCCTTCCCTCAGAGTGGGGAATTCCATAAAAGGGTATGAGGGTGCTCAGTCCTTCCCTCAGAGCAGGGAATTCCACAAAAGGGCATGAGGACAGGAACATCCCCCCACCTCGCAGGCCTCTACTGACAACAGTTTCTGGGAAATGGCATGGAAGGCTATAGAATACACAGGTTTGGGCTACGCCCATCCAGTGATGAATCGGTCCCAGCTGTTCTAACTAGGACACCCTTTTCCACCTTTCCTCTCGTCAAGCCCCACGATTTGGGCGCCAATTAAATGTCTTAGTTTAGCAAGATTACAACTTTGAAATTAAGAAGCTTCAGGTGAAAGTGTGGAAAAGGAAAAAAAAACAATTAAAAAACCCAGTTCTTTATTAACAAACCCGAATAAACAACAATGGTGCAACCAAAACTTTCAAAAGAAACAAAAAAAAAGTCCTAATTCCCCAGGGGGGAAAGAAGCCTGCGGCAAACCAGGGGGGCTGAGGGCAAAACTGTCCCCGGCAGCTCAACAGCTGCTCACAGCCACACGAACGGCCGATGGCTTCACAGAAAGAGTCCTTTTTCCCACAGGCACAGTCTCAGGTCAGGCAGCTCTGATAATGCAGCCTCACACACCAAGGGCAGAATACCTTGCTCGAGATGGGTTGGTCTCCCTCTCTCAGTTGTCATCCACCTGGTCTCCGTTGGGGAAAGAGAAAAAACAACTTCCCCTCAGGGAAAAAAAAAAGGAGGTGGCTGAAGCCAAAAGCAGCTCCCGCTCTGTTGGTCAGTGGACAAACAAATCCTCCCGACAAAGGGGCTTCCGAGGCGTGGCGCTGGCCAGCTTTTAAAGGGAACCTCCCGCCCCCTCCACCTCCCACGCTGCCCTGTGCATGCAGCACCGCTCTATCCCCCCTCCTGCCTCCCCCCACCCCGGAAGAAACAGATGGGGGGGATGACCGACACTGGGAAAAAATGACAACATCCCTTTTCAAAGCTATAACACTTAGGCAAGCCATGTCTCCTCTATTGGGCCTTGTATGTAGGGCTTGAGAAGGCCATATGTTAGCATGAGGAGCTGCTGTAAGGGAATCTGCTGGAATGCCCTGTACTGGCCTGTGCTACACGCTGGTGGATGTTATGACATAGAGAACATTCCAATATGTAAGGATAAGATATATGGTTCTGCTTGCTACACAAGATAGAAGGCAACATGGTATGGAAGAGAGGCTAAACATCTTCATAGACAGGATCTGTGCAGCATGTCTTAGGAAAATCCATCTGGAGTCCATCTGATGTTGCATGAAAACAATGTTCCAAACATCTGAAAAGACCTAAGATTTACTCACTATCAATATTCCTCTTGTTATTCTATAATATGAAAACAGCTATTTTATTATGCCTTTTGTTGTTGGGCCTTTCTTATTAAGATCCAGAAAAAAAACCTGCACATTCTCTCTCTGTCACCATTCCCATTCTTTGGTGCAGAACAAATGTAATTTAAAAACAGGGAATGTTTTGATAACTTTCATGCAGCAACAGTACTCCAGAAGTGGGATATTTTAGAGAAACCCAAAATATTGCAAGACTTTAAGTAATATTCATCAATTCATAAAATGATAGAATCATTTAAACTTTTAGATCATCAAGTCCAACTGTTGACCTAATACTGCCAAATCCACCACTAAACCTAAGTGCCACATCTACACATCTTTTCAATACTTCCAGGGATGATGACTCAACCACTTGCCTGGGCAGCCTGTTCCAATGCTTGACAACCCCTTCTGTGAAGAAATTTTTCCTAATATCCAGTCTAAACCTCCCCTGGTGCAACTTGAGGCCATTTCTTCTTGTCCTATCACTTGATACTTGGGAAAAGAGACAGACACCCACGTCATTACAACCTCCTATCAGGTAGTTGTACAGAGCGATGTGTCCCCTCAGCCTCCTTTTCTCCAGGCTAAACAACCGCAGTTCCCTCAGCCACTCCTCACAGGAATCAGTGTCTCCTAACAATTTATGCTTTGCACTGTTTCTCAATTAGCTATATGTTTTTAGAATCCTCAAGGTTGGAAGAGACTGTTAAGATCATCAAGTCCAACTGTCAACCCAGCACTACCACTGTGTCATGGTTTGAGAGTTCCAAAATCCAATTCCCGAGTTCAAGCCCCCCTCCCTCATCTCAACCCACTGTGAGATGGGTTTTCCAGACACCACACGAGACTCAAAATGGGGAGAAGGGAATATATATTACAATGACTGTACAGATAGAATATTACAATACATTACACACACAATCTCAACTATCTCTACCATGATAAAACAGTATTTACAATGGATCAAATCTCTTCTCTCTCCAAATAAAAGTCCAGGAGGGAAGAAGGAAGAGATCCTTTCTACTTTCAGAGCAGCAGTGTCTCTAGGGCAGCAGGCTCTCTTCTTTTATGCAGCAGTTGTAGCTGGATCTCTGCCAGTACACACGAGGGGGGTATTCAAGCCCCTCAGCCCTTCGACTCCAAGCGAGGGTCTTCTCTTCCATGGGCTGTGTTCACCAGGACAAAGGTCACTTCACCACGTCATATCAACAAAGCGCAGGGGTCTTCGTGACGGTCCGTATCTTCAGGGGATTCAAGCCCCCTTGCAGAGCTCCTGTGCTCTGCTTAACAGCAGCAGGGGGGGGCAAAGCCCTCCTCTGCATTCCTTTGGCCATCCCGGTCCAGCTCTGGGAAGCCCTGAGCATCTCAGCTCCTCTCTTTTCGGTGCTGTAGCACTCTAAGACTCATTAAATAAGAGTCCATCATCTTCCTCCTATCTAGGAGGTCTCAGAGGGGTTTGGGGACTTCGTTTCAGTTCTTACCCAAACTCTCTCTCTCTCTGTAGAGCTTAGTTCTCTCTCTCTCAGACAACTCTGTGTCTTCCTGCTCGGCTGCATGTTTGTTTGCTGCTCCTTATCTTTTGGTTCTCTGCCACCGTTTCTCCGGTCAGTACTGCTCTGCTGCCGTTTTTGCTGCTCACGGTGGAGGAGAAAAAACTCCCAGCCTCTCAGCTACAGATACTTAGCCCAGTTTAACACTGTTCCAAGTCCCTGTAGCCCCCCAGCCGGGAGCTGGGGGGGCCCAGCCCCCAGTGGGGCTCCTACTGCTTCTCCTCGTGGCTTCAGAACATGGCCACCTCTCCAACAACAACTACAACTACTACCACCTTCTTTTCCGGTCTGCTTGTGATATGTTTATATTTTGCAGAAGTGCTCATTGGCTCAAACCTAAGGATCACCACCCCCTGGGGGTTTACCATTTTATAACTTCAGGGGGAAAACTGTTTTTCCCCCCACCACAACACTCCACCCCCTCGCTCTGCGAAATATAAACATATCACAACAATTTGAAAAACTCTAATCAACATGCAGTCTTCAACAAACTAAAATATAATCAAAATCTCTCTACTACATATCAGTACAGCATTATCACAAACTTTACTCTGAGTTCTTACATCACTATAGCTTTACTTTCTCTACAGTGGTACAGTCTGTGTTTTGTCTGGAAACTCTTTCTGTTATCACAAGCATCATAGCTCTTATCTCTTTATCTCGGTGGAACCTCCAAACACTGTAACCACTAAACCACATCACCCAGTGCCAGATCCAGACCACTCTTGACCACCTCCAGGGATGGTGACTCCACCACCTCCCTGAGCAACCTATTCCAATGCCTGACCACCCTAACAGTAGAAAAATGTTTTCTAATATTCAATCTGAATCTCCCCTGTCTCAGCTTGAAGCCATTTCTTCTAGTTCTCTCACTGCAGGCATAGTAGATGACACCAGCCCTCACCTCATTACAACCTCCTTTCAGGTAGTTGTAGAGAGTGATAAGGTCCCCCCCGAGTCTCCTCTTCTCAAGACTAAACAACCCCAGCTCCCTCAGCTGTTCCTCATAAGACATGTTCTCTAGACCTTTCATGAGCCCTATTGCCCTTCACTGGACACTCTCCAGTACCTCAATGTCCTTTTAAAGGGAGGAGTCCAAAACTGAACACAGTACTTGAGGTGGGGCCTCACCAATGTTGAGTAGAGGGGGACGATCACTTCCCTAGTTCTTCTGGCTACACTATTCTTTATAACGGCCAAGTTGCCATTGGCCTTCTTGGCCACCTAAGCACACTGCTGACTCATATTGAGCTGGCTGTCAACCAACACCCCGGGTCCCTTTCTGCTGAATGGCTCTCAAGCCACTCCTCCCCCAGCCTGTAGTGCTGCATGGGGTTGCTGAGATCCAAGTGCAGGACCCAGCATTTTGCCTTCACAGAATCACAGAATATGCCAAGTTGGAAAGGACCAACAAGGATCATCGAGTCAACTCCTGGCCCTACACAGGACCATCCCCAAGAGTCACATCATGTGCCCAAGAGTATCGTCCAAATGCTTCTTGAACTGTGTCAGGCTTGGTGCTGTGACCACTTCTCTGGGGAGCCTCATCCAGCGCCCAACCACCCTCTGGGTGAAGAACCTTTTCCTAATATCCAACCTAAACCTCCCCTGACACAACTTCGGGCCATTCCCTCAGATTCTGTCACTTGTCACCATAGAGATCACAAGGAAGTTGTAGACTGCAATGAGGTCTCCCCTCAGTCTCCTCCAGGCTGAACATATCAAGTGCCCTCAGCTGGTCCTCATACAGCTTCCCCTCAAGGCCCTTCACCATCTTCATTGCTGTGCTGGTTTAAAGGTAAACCGGCAGGAGAAATGAACCCAACTCAAAAGAGATTATAAATCAGAATTACAATTTAATAAAAATAATACAATAAATACAATTATACAGATGAACAATTGGGTTTAGCCCACAAAAACCTAGATGTATAACCCGGCACCCTGGGGCATGAACAGAATGTTGTTCGTTGGCCCCTGTGCCCCACGTGGTCCCCTAAGTCCAAAGTAAAAGGAGAGGAAAAACCTGTTGATGCGAGTGATGGTCGCAGTCCGGTCGAGAGTGGTGGTCGCAGTCCGGTCAAGAGTGGTGGTCACAGTCCAGTCGAGGTTCTGGTCCTCCTCTGGATCTGACAAGTGGTACCAGAAGTCCCAAGACCCCAAGATTATATACACTCAGGTTCGAGTGGGAATGCCCAGTACCTCCCCCAGGGTGGGGAGTTCCACAATGGGTGATGTGAGTCGTGAGATATTTTTGGAATCCTTGGCAGCCCATTAGCAGACATGACCCCTCAGGCTGGGCGTGGAGGTGCTAATGACTCCCTAGATGGGAGTTAACATCACCCATAACTATAGCCTGAGGGGTCAGGTGCGCTCTGGGCAGCTGCTGCAAATGGTCTACTGTTAACAGTTCCTGGGAAATGACATGGAGGGTGTAGAATACACAGTTTGGGTTACACCCACACAGTGATGAACTGCTCCCAGCTGCTCTAACTAGGACAATTGCCCTCCTTTGGACACTCTCTAATAGCTTAATATCTTTATATAAGATTGCAGTGACCAAAACTGCACACAATACTCAAGGTGAGGCTGCACCAGTGCCTTATTGAACCTCATGCAGTTGTCCTTAGTCCATTGATTGAGTCTGTCCAGGTCTCTCTGTAGAACCTTCCTACCCTCGAACAGATCAACCCCCCCCAACTTGGTATCGTCTGCAAATTTACTGAGGATGCACTCAATCCCTGTGTCCAGATCATCAAGAAAGATGTTAAACTGATGCCTTAAGCCCCTAATGTTTTTTTATTTCTTTTAATATTTGTAAGACTTGTAAGTTTTATAAGCAGTGAAAGTAGAAACCCTCTCTTCTTTGCCCTTGTTCCTTTCCCTTTTCCCTGTAGCACCCTTGTTTACACATTCCTTAACCCTCTTACCCCATTCTATGCTCCCCATATCAACCCTACTCCTGAATCCAATAGAAATGTTTAGTCTTTTGTCAAGGTTAGGCCTAGACAGTTGACAGAACAGCATATCTGGGCCTAAACCACAGAATGAAGTCAAGAATTAGATAACTATGTACCCTTTGTGCTCTGATGATGATGAAGATGGGATGAATGGAGGGTCCCGAAATGCACCCCAGACTCATTTTCAGGGGGTGGACCCCGGGGCGGTCCAGAGGAAAGGCCACAGGGTGGATACATCTGGGATTGGATGGATGATGTTATAAAATGTAACCTCTCGGGCACAGGGGTACGCGCGCGTCTGGTAACATCTTAGCCTTGGCAAATAAAACCCTTTCTTATCTCACCCCTAATTAACTGCTCCGGAGATTTTTTCAGCACCTAAATCCCACGGCAACAAACAGGACCAGCCCCAAAACTGAGCCCTGGGGAACACCACTAGTGACTGTTTGCCACCTGGATTTAACTCCATTCACAACTCTCCGGGCCCGGCCATCCAGCCAGTTTTTTACCCATCGAAGAGTCCACCCATCCAAGCCATGAGCAGCCAGTTTTTCTAGGAGGATGCTGTGGGAGACAGTGTCAAATGCTTTACTGAAGTCCAGGTAGACAACATCCACAACCTTCCCCTCATCTGCTAAACGGGTCACCTGGTCATAGAAGGAGATCAGGTTTGTCAAGCAGGACCTTCCTTTCATAAATCCATGTTGGCTGGGCTTGATCTCCCGGTTGTCCTGCATGTGCCATGTAATGGCACTCAGGACGATCTCTTCCATAACCTTGCCTGAAACTGAAGTAAGGCTGACAGGCCTGTAGTTTCCCAGATAATCCTTCCAAATCTTCTTGTAGATGGATGTTACATTTGCCAATTTCCCGTCAGCTGGAACTTCTCCAGTTTACCAGGACTGCTCATAGATGATTGAGAGTGGTTTGGCAAGTTCTTTCACGAGTTCCCTCATTACTCTGGGGTGGATCCCATCAGGGCCCATAGACTTGTGACTGTCTAATTGGCATAGCAGGTCACTAACCATCTCCTTCTGGATTATGAGGGCTTTACTCATCTCCCCATCACCAACTTCCAGCTCAGGGAGCTGAGTATCCTGAGGACAACTGGTCTTGATATTGAAGACTGAGGCAAAGAAGGCATAAAGTACCTCTGCCTTTTCCTCATCCCCTGTCACTACACTACCCTTTGTGTTCAACAAATGATGGAGACATTCCTTGACCCTCCTTTTGCTGCTGATGTATTTATAGCAACTTTTTTTGTTCTCTTTAACTGTAGCAGCCAAATCAAGTTCTAATTGGGCTTTAGTCCTTCTTATGTTCTCCCTACATGACCTCGCGACATCCTTATAGTCCTTCCTGACCCTCCTTCCAGAGACGATAACTTCTCTTTTTTTCCTCAAGTTCCAGCCTAAGTTCTCTGTTTAAGCAGGCTGGTCTTTTTCCCCAATTACTTGTCTTTCTACACATGGGGACAGCCTGGAACTGAATATTTATCAATTCCTTTTTAAAGCACATCCAGCCTTCCTGGACTCCTTTGTCCTTCAGTACTGACTCCCAAGGGACTCTGTCAATCAATCTCCTAAACAGGCCAAAGTCTGCCTGCCAGAAGTCCAAGGTGGGAGTTCTGCTGGTGCCCCTCCTTACTTCACCCAGTATTGAAAACTCAAACATTTTGTGATCAGTATGCCCAAGACAGCCCTTGACCACCACATCACCCAGTTCTTTGTTCCCAAACAGGTCTAGCAGGGCACCTCCTCTGGTAAGCTCATTTACCAGTTGTGTTAGGAAGTTGTCTTCCACACACTCCAGTAACTTCCTAGACTGCTTCCTCTCTGCTGTGTTGTATTTCCAGCAGACATATGGCAAGTTGAAGTTGCCCACGAGTACAAGGGCCGGCAACTGTAAGACTTCTGCCAGCTGCTTGTAGAATGCCTCATCAGCCTGTTCATCCTGGTTGGATGATCTATAACAGACTCCCACCTTGCTGACCTTCCCCTGATCTTTACCCAGAGGCACTCAACCTTGTAATCTTCATCATCATCAATTTCAGTACAATCAAAACACTCCCTAATGTACAGTGCTATCCCACCACCTCTCCTGCTTTGTCTGTCTCTTCTAAAGAACTTATAGCCATCCATTGCAGCACTCCAGTTGTGAGAGTCACCCCACTACGTTTGGGATAGTGACTGCATCATAACTTTCCTGCTGCACAATGGCTTCCAGCTCTTCCTGCTTGCTGCCCATACTGTGTGCATTGGTGTAGATGCACTTCAACTGGGCTAACGGTTTTGCCCCTGTACAGGCCTGCCACTCCTATGCTCATCTCTAGTGAGCCTGGTCTTATCCCCTTCCTATTTCAAGCCTAGTTTAAAGACCTCTCAGTCAGCCCTGCCAACTCCTGGGACATAATCCTTTTCCCCCTCTGAGTACCCCATCCAACATGAGCAGGTGCTCTGCTATGCAAACTGCCACACTTGGTTGCTATCTTTCTTCACTAGTCTGGGAGCTGTTATTTGGTGTTATATAGGCCTTTCCCTATCACCAGTTAAAAGGCTGCTTGACCTTCTCTAATCAGAGGTCAACCGAAACAAAGGCTGTGCACACCCTTTGATGAGGATAGCTGACTTTTTGAGAAGCTGCTAGAGCTGCCCTTACCTCAACCTTAATGGACAGCAGCAGGCACTCTCAAGTTTCTCTGAGGGTTCCCAGGAGTCTCCAGATCTCAGACAAAGTGCCCAGAAATTCAAGGAGATCTGAAGAAGACCTCAAACTACTGCATCTGTTGGCTGCCTTTTTCTGTTGTGATCCACACTAATCATTCTTGACAATAAGGATGTGTTGCAGAAACACTTGTGGACAGAATGTTTGTTTAAAAGTCCAACTAATTTAATAGGATATTTTGCATAGGAAAATGTTCATGTGATGGGTGTACATGGCAAGGTTTTGGTGGTGGAGGGGACTGCAGGGGTGGCCTCTGTGAAAAGAGGTCAAAGGCTCCTGATAGCTGCAAAATGGTCCAGCACAGTGGCATGCTCTTTCTGTGCTGGAAGGTAGACATGGATGTTTTGGGAAGCTAGAGCTGAATTCCTTAGTTCTGCTAGTCCTCTTGTGACAGGTTACTCTGGGTAATATCCTTCATGTTAACACCTATGTCCTGAGTAGGAACATACTCAAGGCCAGGTTGGATGGGGCCCTGATCAACCTGACCTAGTGGGTGTCATCCTTGCCCATGGCAGGAGGGCTGGAACTAGATGATCTTTAAGGTCCTTTCCAACTCAAACCATTCTGTGATTCTGTGAAAGGCTGCCCTGTGCCAGACACAACCAGTTCCAACCAGCTCTACAATGGACCCACTGCAGGCCAAAGCTGAGACAATCAACAGAGTTGGTGGCACCTCTGTGAAAGGGCAAAAACACCAGACAGGCAGAGGAGAAGAGAAAAAAAGATTGAGAAACAGCAGAGGGAACACCAAGGTCAGAGAAGAAAGACAAGAAGGACAAGAAGGAGGTGTTTCAGGCACTAGAGCAGATATTCCCCCACAGGCTGTAGAAGAGACCATGCTGCAGCAGATATTCACTGCAGTCCTTCAAGTATCCCACACCAGAGCAGCTGGATATTTCCTGAAGGAGCTGCAGCCTGTGGAAAAGCCCACATTGAAACAGATTCTTCTAAAAGGAATTGAGGCCTGTGGAGAACCCACACTGGAGCAATATTTTTCCTGAAGGACTGCAACCCTTGGAGAGAACTCATGCTGGAACAGGGAAAAAGTGTGTGGAGGAAGGAACAGCAAAGAGGAACTGTTATGTACTGACTGTAACTCCCCTATCCCCACACTGTCAGGCAAGTAAAAGAGCCTGGAATGAAGGAATAAAGTTGAGCCTGAGAAAAGAGGGGAGTGAGGTGTTATTTTAATTTTTGTCTTTGTTTCTCAGTGCCCAAATCTCTTTTAATTGGTAATAAACTAAATTAATTTTCCCCAAGTCAAGTCTGTTTTACCCATTACAGTAATTGGTAAGCAATCTCCCTGTCTTTACTTCGACCCATGAGGTTTTTCATCCCTTGTTTTGTTGTGGAGGAGGAGTGAAAGAGTAGCTGGATGGGCACCAGGCTGCTGGCCAAGGTTAACCTACCACATGAAGCAAATCTCTCTAACAGGCTGATCAGTTTCTGTCCGGATGGTGACAGGATCCTCCATTGTAAGGCTCCTTGTAACAATGTCTTCCGTTGGATCAGCTGAGACTCCCTGAACTATTTTTCTGGTGAATTTTTATAATCTACATGGCTCCTCCTACATGACCCCTCCAATGTGTGCATGAGCCATTGCTATTTGTGAAGTAAGATACACGCAGGTACTCCCAGAAATGCCAAGGCAGTGGAAAGAATCCAAGGAAATTTATTTTGAAGGCAAGAATGCTAAAAACTTAGAAAGAAATCATGCATCAGCTGCGAAAGCTCTGGGCCTGAGCAAGACACACCTCCTGTTCTCTTCCAGGCCTCTTATCTTCTCTGTCCTCCCTCCCCCAGGCCCTCTCCGCTGTGCCAACCTGTAAGATCTGTTTCTCTCCCTATAACAGAGAAAGAGAGAGCCTGCAGCTTTCTCTGTGATGCAAAAGGAGAAGGGAAAGAAAAACATCCAACTATTTTTGAGAAAAGTACTCTTAGGCAGGAAAGACTTCCTAAGCGAAAACAAGTCCTAAACTCCTTGTTACAAATTCTTCTGAAAGGATATTTACTCTTACACTGTTGATTATCTTCTCTTAACTATGTACAAAAGACTGCCCTGTGTGACCATTTTTGCATCTGCAGAAACAGTTTCCACTGACTATTTACAAGTATCTTATCTATGTACAATTAGGTCAATTCTACAGCAGGCACTACTTGGGGGAGTCACTCAGCCTGCCAGATTCTCCACCAAGGATCTTAGTCAACATACTGAAGCATATGAAGTAGTGCCTATCAATTGGCAGGGACTACCTGTGGGAATCTCCTGGACTGTCTGAAATTCCCACTGGGAGAGATCCTGTAGCAAGTATTCAATTGCTTTGCTGTGAAGGGACCAGGAGTTGTCAATTGCCATGTCTCAAGTCAGTCCATTGTCTCATGTAGCAGACACTACCTGGGGAGCTCCTGGACTACCCAGGGAACTGATGGCTAGGCCCACCGGGTATACACACAAGCATAGCCCTAATACCCAGCTACACCACAATTATAATTTCCTCCTTATATAACAATTATAAATTAAATTCCATAAAATTTACCATAGGTGGCAGGAGTTTGTTTTAGTGGATTTTGAAATCATAGAATCATAGAATGTTAAGGGGTTGGAATGGACCTTAAATATCATCTAGTCCCAACCCCCCCTGCCATGGGCAGGGATACCTCCCACTAGACCAGGTTACTCAAGGCCTTATCCAACCTGGCTTTGAACACTGCTGGGATTGGGGCATCCACAACCTCCCTGGGCAACCTGTTCCAGTATCTCGCCACCCTCACAGTAAAAAATTTCTTCCTAATATCTAACCTAAATTTCCCGTCTTTCAGTTTGTACCCATTATTCCTTGTCCTATCACCACAGTTCCTGACAAAGAGTCCCTCTACAACTTCCTGGTAGGCCCCCTTCAGATACTGGAAGGTTGCTATGAGGTCTTCATGCAACCTTCTCCAGGCTGAACAGTCCAAACTTTCTCAGCCTGTCTTTGTAGGGGTGGTGCTCCAGTCCTCTTATCAACCTGGTGACCCTCCTCTGGACTTGCTCCAACAGTTCCATGTCCTTCTTATGTTGGGGACACCAGAACTGTATATAGTACTCCAGGTGGGAGTCTCACAAGAGCAGAGGGGGAGAATCACCTGCTTTGATGTGCTGGTCACACTTCTTTTGATGCAGCCCAGGATACACTTGGCTTTCTGGGCTGCAGGCGCACACTGCCAGCTCATGTTGGGTTTTTCATCAACCAACACCCCCAAGTCTTTCTCCGTGGGGCTGCTCTCAATCCCTTCTCTGCCCAACCTGTAGGTATGCCTGGGATTGCCATGACCGAGGTGTAAGACCTTGCACTTCTCTTTGTTGAACTTCATGAGGTTAGCACAGACTCACCTCTCAAGCCTGTCAAGGTCCCTCTGGGTGGCATCCCTTCCCTCCAGCGTGTCAACCGCACCACACAGCTTGGTGTCATCAGCAAATTTGCCAAGGGTGCACTCAATCCCACTGTCCATGTTGCTGACAAAGATTTTGAACAGTATCAGCCCCAGTACCGACCCCTGAGGGACACCACTCATCACTGGTCTCCATGTGGACAATGAGCTGTTGACCACAACACTTTTTGTGCGGCTATCCAGCCAGTTCTTTATCCACCAAGTGGTCCATACATCAAAACCATGTGTCTTCAATTTGGAGACAAGGATGTCATGTGGGACAGTGTCAAATGCTTTGCATAAGTCCAGGTAGATGATGTCAGTTTCTCTGCCCCCATCCACCAATGCTGTAGCCCCATCATAGAAGGTCAACAAATTTGTTAGGCATAATTTCCCCTTTGTGAAGCCATGTTGGCTGTTGTCAATCACCTCTTTGTTTTCCATGTGCCTTAGCATAGTTTCCAGGAGAATCTGCTCCATGATCTTGCCTGGCACAGAGGTGAGACTGATTGGTCTGTAGTTCCCTGGGTCTTCTGCTTTCCCCTTTATAAAAATGGGGGTTATATTTCCCTTTTTCCAGTCATCAGGGACTTCACCAGACTGCCACAATTTTTCAAAAATGTTGGATAGTGGCTTAGCAACTTGGTCTGCCAGCTCCCTCAGGACCTGCAGATGAAACTCATCAGGTCCCATGGACTTGTGCACATTTAGGTTCCTGAGATGGTCTCAAACCTGATCCTCTCCTACAATGGGCTCAGGGTCTTCATTCTCCCAGTCCCTGCATTTGCCTTTCTCAACTTGGTCAGCCGTGGCTTGAGCACTTGCCGTTATGACTGAGGCATAGAAGTCATTGGGAACTTCAACCTTCTCTTTGTCCAGGGTAACCAGATCTCCTGTTTCCTTCCAGAGAGGGCCCACATTATCCCTAGTCTTTCTCTTGCTTGAAACATATCTATAGAAACCCCTCCTGTTATCCTTGATATCCCTGGCTAGACTCAATTCTAACTGGACCTTGGCTTCCCTAGCTTGTCCCTAGCTTATCCCCTTATTCCCATACAATTTCCCTGTATTCCTCCCAGGCCACCTGTCCTCGTTTCTACTTCCTGAAAGTTTCTTTTTTCCCATCTGAGTTTGCACAGTAGCTCCTTATCCATCCATGGGGGCCTCCTGGCATTTTTACCTGATTTCCTCCTTGTTGGGATGCATCGTTCCTGAGCTTGGAGGAGGTGATCCTTGAAATTCAGCCAGTGTTCTTGAATCCCTCTGCCTTCCAGGGCTCTATCCCATGGGACTATACCGAGTAGGTCCTTGAAGAGACCAAAGTCTGCTCTCCTGAAGTTCAGGGCAGTGAACTTGCTGTGTGCCCTCCTCACTGCCCTGAGGATCTCCAACTCCACCATCTCATGGTCACTGCAACCAAGGCTGCCTTGGAGCACTACATTCCCCACCAACCTCTCCCTGTTGGTGAGAACAAGGTCCAGCATGGCACCTCTTCTCATTGGCTCCTCAATCACTTGTGTAAGGAAGTTGTCATTGACACATTCAAGGAACCTCTGGGATTGCTTGCGCCCTGCCGTGTTGTCCCTCCAACAGATATCGCGGTGGTTGAAATCCCCCATGAGGACCAGGGCTTGCGAGCGTGAGGCCACTCCTATCTGCCTATAGAGGGCTTCATCTACACCATCCTCCTGATCAGGTGGCCTGTAACAGACCCCCACTATAACATCCCCTGTCCCTGCCCTCCCTTTAATGTTGACCCACAAGTTCTCGACTGGCTCCTCATCCTTCCCCAGACAGAGTTTCATACTCTCCAACTGGTCATTGACATAAAGGGCTACATCTTCTCCTCATCTCCCTAGCCTGTCTTTCCTGAAAAGCCTAAAACCTTCCATTCCAATGGTCCAGTCATAGGAGCCATGCCACCATGTCTCTGTGATGCCAATGATATACCCACGCAGGCATGCACATGTCTCTAGTTCCTCTTGTTTGTTCCCTATACTATGTGCGTTTGTGTAGAAGCATCTGAACTGGGCCTAGGATAAAGCTGACTCACTGGCTGGAGTATTTGGAATGCCTTTGCACTGTTCCGGGCATCCATTACAGGTGTTGGCATCTGACCGGCGGGATTGGGATGGATAGGTGACCCCTCCCACAAAATTACTGTACCCAAACATGAAAAACCCTTCTGCCATTTCTAGTACTCTGGGCACATG